CCTGTAAGGTGTCCTCTGACTTCCACCCACATACTCCTCAAGCATGGACGCGCACACACACACACACACACACACACACACACACACACACACAATGGACTTGAGTGGCTAAAACTGGAGGATTGTGAGTTCAAGGCCAGTCTGGGTAATGTAGCAAGTTCCTGCCTCCCATAATTACATGGGGCTGGTAGGGGGGGTTCCTTTCACATGGTTGTATAGTCAACATTTTATAAACTACAGTTGTCTGCTTTGAATTTTTCATGAATATGGTGAGATGAGATGTATGGGTAAAACTCAGGTTCTCATGTGTGCATTGAGGGCTGGGGTTACAGTTTCAGAGCGCTGGCTTAGCATGACAATGCCCTGCCACTACAAGGAAAAGAGTGAGAAAAGAGAGGAGGGGAGGGACAAGAGGAAGTAAAGGAGAAGGAAGAGGAGGTGGGTCAGACAGAAGGGAAGGGGAAGTAGAGAGGAGAGAAATGACTGGCCACTGAGCGCACTGGATCTTTGGCAACTGCCATGTCTTCCTCTGTGATTAGGGATAACCCACGTCCGGGGTCCTGAAAGGGTGAAGTGAGACAGCGTGTCCAAAGTGCACAGAATCGTGTCAGCTACTGCCTGGATGGTCAAACACTGCCAGACAGTAAGAACACAGAGGGTGAGAAAGACAGACTCATCCACAGCCCCGTGAGAGGTAAAACAAAATGCAGGTAAAGGCAGATGCCCTGGGGACACCTGCAGTGACGGAACTGTGAAGACAGACAGGGAGAGGAAGCCCTTTCCTCTCAGGAGCAGTCCTCCTCCGAGACTGGCTGGCCTAGCTCTTGCCAGTTTGCTGCCACTGGTCCTTAGTGACCCTGTCCTGCCCCAGGCAGCGTCTGAAGCCTGGGGTGGGGCAGCTGAGGAAAAGCCTCTGGAGCCCCGAGTGCACGGTGCTAACTCAGGGCTTCTGGCCAAGGCAGTAATTGCCAGCTGCTGAAAGATATTAAACGCAGGGAAGGAAAACTAAGTTCTCTACGAGACAGACCTCGCAGAGTTCTTACAGCTCATAAAAAAAAAAAAAAAATGTAAATAGTTACCCAGTGAGATATTATTTCATGTTGTTACCATTAGGGTTTGAGTGTTATGCATAGAGGTGATCATTCAGGCAATCCCGCCCCAGCAAGGAGTGAAAACTACCCATTAACCCCTCACAACAAATCTACCACCTCTCGCTCTCCACCTGACTCAGGCATTTTTTCCTGGGTGGCAAATTTTATGTAAATTGAAGTTGTGGAAAAAAAAAATCTATAAATATTCACAATTTTCTAAAGGCTTTTTTTTAAAAAAATAGCTTTTGAGGGGCTTTTTTTTTTTTTTTTTTTTTGGACTAGAGCCCAGGGGAAGGTCTGCTGTCTTGTCCATGGAATTCCCAGCCTAGACTGAGATTTTAGGGATCCGGTTGCTTATGGCTGACACACTTAGCACATAACTCCGAAGAGCGATTTTCCCAGGATGTGAACAGTACACTGCATCACAGCCAGCGTTTTCCTGGGACTTTCTTTGTCTCAGCACTCCACATGTGACCTGCGTTGTCTGCCTGTGACCTCCCAGGGCTAGGGTGGCCACTCTTAAACATGGGTAAACTGGAGCATGAAGAAAGGTGACATACCCAGGATCACCACAGCAGCACACTTTACAGGGAGGCCTGGCTCCCAATGACCCAACTCCATATAACTGTTCTACCTCGGCATCCAGTAACTGCAGGTAAGCCACAAACCCATTCCTCTCTCTCAGCTCTAGCTGAGCTGCTTACAGGATCCAGTACTACAGAAAGCATAGAATGAAGTCAAGCAAGCCTGTAATGCCTGCTAGGGAGATGGTGAGTTCTAGCCCAGGCTGAGCTCCATAGCTACATCCTGCATTCTAGAAGGAAAGAGAAGTGGCTGACATGCAGGTCATTCTTTACAACAATGTCATAGAAACAGCCTTAACCCTGTCCTATTTGACTACCCGTTCCTTATTCCCAGGGCAACCAGGCAAGGGCTGGCAAATAAGGTCCCACGCATCTGCCACACTTCTGCAAGGGCGGGGGAGGGGGGAGACTCTTGCTCTGTGCCCTGTGCTGCAACATTTTACATGGGCTTTTCCACCACATTCCTAACACAACGCTTTGCCCACAGCTGGTCCTCAGTAAACATGGTCCAGTTGATTAATGACTCACAGTCTCTCCCAGGTGGCGAGCCATTCCTTTGAAAACTGAACCGCCTGAAAGGCGGCTGGGGCCCAGAGTAGGGCTCTGTATGGGGTAACAATTTTGCTTAAGTAAATGTCAAACGGTGATTTTTAATAATCATCTGCAAGTGTTTTAATTAGGCCTTGGGCCTAGCTCGGTACAGCCTTTCATTTTTCTCTCAGAAGGAAACTGGATAGATCAGTCAAGGAAATGCTCCTGCACTTAGCAGCACCCCAAAGTGTGTCCCTTCCCTCTGTGTTTGCTGTGGAGCACTGTTCAGGAGCAGGAAGGGAAGCAGGCCTGGCCTTGACAGCATGCTGTCTGGCACTATTTGCCCTATCCTTGCTAACTGCTGTGAGCTTCGGGAAGTAAGTTTCTTAAAAGGACAATGTGCCATTTCATATCATTGCCAGCCTCCTACCCGAGTCTGCATATCCTGTCTCTCTACTTCTTCTCTCTTCCTTCTGTTCATCTGACATCTTTCTCCCCTCCAAATAAAAACACTCTACTGTCCTTTCTGCTGCCTCCTGACCCCTTTTTTTCCACCCACATTCCTATGTGTCTACTCTCTTTCCCTCCAACTTATTTCCCATTAATCATTTCTAACACACATCTGCTTGGGCCCTAGAAGGATTTTCTTGGCTCACACTTGCAGCTGGACTGCTTACAATAACCAAGGAGGCTTTCGTCTCTGTCTAATTCTTCCTTCTTCCTAATTCTTCCTCCAAGACATCCATAGAGGCCAACCCTTCTACGGTCTATTTTTCTTCTGCTCTTACCTCCCAAAGGCCAAAGCACCCCGGAAGTGGACTTTGTTTCTTTGTTGTGAGATAGGGTCTTGCTCTGCAGCACCAGCAAGACTGGAACTCAGTAAGTAGGCCAGGTTGGCCTCAAATCCATGATGTGATCCTACTGCCTCTGCCTCCTGAGTGCTGGGTTTACACATACGAGTCGGGGCACCCAGCTTGGAGTAGAATTTTAAAGACGGAGTAGAATTTTAAAGATAAGCGTTGGCGGTGACCAAAGGGGGATGAGGGACTGGGAGTATAAAACTTTGCACCATAAAATAAATAAGAACATCTTCCGCCCTTCCGTTCCTAGGCTCCTCTTGTTGTCAAGTCAGGGCACCTCTGGCCATTCGGTGTCAACTAATTTTCTAAGAATTAAAGATGAGGAGGGGGACAGTAGGGTAATCTCCGAGAGTTCGCTACACACTGATTCACTAACCAGTGTGGATACAAGGAGTGCTTGAGCATAGCGTGTAACCGGCATGGCCTTGGAAGCTGCCTGCCGTCCTTTCTCCTGACCACGATCAAGGTCATGTTTGTTCTATGAGTAGTTATTTCTCTCACTTTGAAGATCCCTTTGAAATATCCTGTTCTCGCATTGTCTTGAGTCACTGGTACCGGGGTCAGACAAAAGACCCTGGGTCAGCACCACGCAGTCAGAACCAGATGGCCCTGGGGCAGTCCTTCTACAGAAACAGGCCTTGATGATCAGAGTGACTCACCAGGACAGGAAAAGTGGTACTCTAAAAGAACAGTGACACCAGCGCGCCTCCACTGGCCGCCAAGGGCAGGCAGAAGTGCTCAGTCCAGAGCTGGGACACAAAGGACCAGTCTCACCTGATTGAGCCTGGAGAGTCAGAACTTTAAGGTCAGGTCCGTGACTATGTAAAATCTCTGCCAAGTGTGAATGCATTCCTCCCTACCCCCTTCCCCGGAAGGCTCTGGGGAATCCGAGAGGGTGCTGTTATTATTAATAAAAGGGTTTAATTTCGAAATTCAGCTGGGGGTGTTGGAACCAATGGAGTAGTCTCTGGAGTTTGTGTAGCCCAGTGGTAAAAAGACGCGCCCCCATGCCCGCCCCAGGGCACCGGCCTCTGCTTTGATGCCTCTCCCCACCCCCGTCGCCAAAGAGCAGCTGGCTACAGCACAGTGAGGAAGCTTTATGGGTTTAAACAAGACAAGAACCCTGAAACACACCTAAACACGATCTATAATTCAGTGCGCCCCCGGGGCGTTCCAGGCGCTTCGAGGCGGCACTCCTTGGCCAGGGTACAGCGCTTCAGCTCGACCATCTCACCGGGAAGGGAAGGGAGCCCTTCAATTTGCAGGCTGACTGGACAAGCTCAAAGTAGTTAGAACGGCGGCTCTCACGCAGCGCCAAGGGAATCGTGGATGCCCCGGAGGCTTCGGCGCTTCCAAGTGAACACATCCGGGCGAGGCCGATTAGGGGAAAGAGAACTGGCCGCTGTAGCTCGGAGAAGCGACCCGGCTCCCTAGGCATGGCCGGCCCCCAGGCTGCCCCCGGGAGAGGCTTGGATACCAAGACCCGGGCCGGCGCCGTGTGCGTTCCCAGCCCTGTCCCCATCCTAGACACTGGGAGACAGCCCCGGCTAGCACACTCGCGCGCGCGCGCACACACACTCGCACCCTGTGGCAGCCGGCCACAGGAGAGGGGCGCGGAGCCTGCGTCTAGAAGTCCCATCCCTCGTGTGCCCGGCGGCGAGGGCAGCCCGGCAGAACCCGGAAAGGGGAGCCGTTCCTGCGCTCAGCAAAGGCCGGGAGGCGGCGACGGGCGAGGGCCCTTTAAGAGTCTCCCCGCCCACCGGCGGCGCCCGCCTCCGCCCGCCGCTCTCCCCGCCCCGGGGTCCGGGAGAGAGCTGCGATTGGGCGGGCGCGGCGATCCCTTTGAAGTGTGGCTGCGGATCGCGGCTATTTGACGTGCCACTTGCGGAAGGCGAAGGTTTTTGTGTTGCTCGCCTGGGCTAGCGGCGGCGGCGGCGGCGGCGGCGGCGGCGCGGCGGCGGCGGTGGAGGAGGGGAGGCTGCACCGAGGCGCAGCGGCTGCCGCACGGCGTTCGACGCAGCGGAGCGAGCCCACCCGCCCCGGGAGCTCGCCTCCCGGAGCTTCCCCTCCCTCCCCGCCCCCCCAGTGGCGCTGCCTCCTCCAAATGAGCGATTCGCCCGCTGGATCTAACCCAAGGACACCCGAGAGCAGCGGCAGCGGCGGCAGCAGCGGCGGCGGCGGCGGGAAGAGGCCGGCGGTGCCGGCAGCGGTGTCCCTCCTGCCCCCGGCGGACCCCCTGCGCCAGGCGAACCGGCTCCCTATCAGGGTCCTGAAGATGCTGAGCGCTCACACCGGTCACCTCCTGCACCCGGAGTACCTGCAGCCGCTGTCCTCCACTCCCGTCAGCCCCATTGAGGTCAGTCTCCTGGCTCTGCCCACCCGGACTTGAACCCGTTCCTCCACCGTGCGGTGCAGAGCCATAGCCCTGCTCCCTGGCCCCTGTAGCTCGGTGCGCCGCGCCGGGGCGGTGAGGCTGGCCACACTGGCGGACCTCATGAGGAGGGACGAGAGGCAGGAATCAGATCCCTCCAGGTTCTCCCTAGACCACTGGGTGGAGGGTTTTTGCCTACTCGCCCCTCGGAGCTGCGTGGTTTCTGCCGGACTGGGTTTGCTCTTGTGCCCAGAGCCTTTTACTTTTCCTCTGGCCCCCAGAGTCCTTTCCAAAGACGGCTCCTGGGCCTCCCTCGCCGCCACCCCCGATCCGTGTCCCACTGCGTCTCCCCCGGCCTCTTGGGGCACACTGCACAACACCCAGACGCTCGGGATCTCGGGCCTTTCTTCATCCGACTTCTCCGGTTGTCCTCCCCGGGAGGGAGGGAGAGGGGGGGAGAGGGAGTGGCTACTCCCAGGGCCAACTGCAGCTCTGCCTTTGGAAGGCGCCTCTCCCTGCCCTGATCCCGAGCGCCGTCGCCACAAACCCGTCCCAAACGAAGTTCTCCCAAACTAAAGGTTCAAGTTTTTCCCTGGGCCAAGGAGGTGGGGGCGGGGGGGGGAGGAGTAGATGAAAAGGGGCGACTCCAGAGAAAGCCACCTTTAACCGGGAAGGCAGGTGTTGGGGACTAACCCACGACGCTGCTCGGCCGGAGCCTGGCCCGGGTCGCCGGCGCGCCCCTGCGCGTCCCTGCGCGCTCAGCGGGTCTCCTGATCTCACCCTTCTCCCCCTCCCCTTCGCCACTGTCTCCCACAGCTGGACGCCAAGAAGAGTCCGTTGGCACTGCTCGCCCAGACCTGCTCGCAGATCGGCAAACCCGACCCGCCGCCCTCGTCCAAGCTCAACTCGGTAGCGGCGGCGGCCAACGGGCTGGGATCCGAGAAGGACCCGAGCCGCTCCGCCCCCGGGGCCGCCTCGGCGGCCGCCGCGCTCAAGCAGCTGGGGGACTCCCCGGCCGAGGACAAGTCCAGCTTCAAGCCCTACTCCAAGGGCTCCGGCGGCGGCGGGGACTCCCGAAAAGACGGCGGCTCCTCGTCCGTGTCCTCCACCTCGTCCTCCTCCTCCTCGTCCCCCGGAGACAAGGCGGGCTTCAGGGTCCCCAGCGCCACCTGCCCTCCCTTTCCTCCGCATGGAGCACCGGTCTCCACCCCGTCCGCCTCGTCCTCGCCCGGCGGCTCCCGGGGAGGTTCCCCGCACCACTCGGACTGCAAGAACGGTGGCGGCGGCGGGGCCGGCGGCGGGGAACTTGACAAGAAAGACCAGGAGGCCAAGCCCAGTCCGGAGCCATCCGCTGGGGGCCGAGGCAGCGGCGGGGACTCGGCTCACGGCGGCTCGGAGGCCTCGGCGTCAGGGCGCAAGTCAGAGCCGCCCTCCAGCCTGGTGGGGGCGGGCCACGTGGCTCCAGTGTCGCCCTACAAACCGGGCCACTCGGTGTTCCCGCTGCCGCCCTCCAGCATGGGCTACCACGGCTCCATCGTGGGCGCCTACGCCGGCTACCCGTCTCAGTTCGTGCCTGGCCTGGATCCTAGCAAGTCTGGCTTAGTGGGAGGCCAGCTGTCCGGGGGCCTGGGCCTGCCACCCGGCAAGCCTCCCAGCTCCAGCCCGCTCACCGGGGCCTCTCCGCCCTCCTTCCTGCAGGGATTATGCCGTGACCCCTACTGTCTGGGAGGTTACCACAGCGCCTCGCACCTCGGCGGCTCCAGCTGCTCCACTTGCAGCGCTCACGACCCGGCCGGGCCCAGCCTGAAGGCCGGCGGCTACCCTCTGGTGTACCCCGGGCACCCTTTGCAACCGGCTGCGCTCTCCTCCAGCGCGGCCCAGGCCGCGCTCCCGGGCCACCCCCTCTATACCTATGGCTTCATGCTGCAGAACGAACCGCTGCCGCACAGCTGCAACTGGGTAGCGGCCAGCGGGCCCTGCGACAAGCGCTTTGCCACCTCCGAGGAGCTTCTCAGCCATCTGCGGACTCACACGGCCCTGCCCGGCGCAGAGAAACTTCTGGCCGCCTACCCCGGGGCCTCGAGCTTGGGCAGCGCCGCGGCCGCGGCCGCAGCCGCAGCCTCCTGTCATCTGCATCTCCCCCCGCCCGCCGCCCCCGGCAGCCCCGGGTCGCTGTCGTTGCGGAGTCCACACACTTTGGGGCTAAGCCGATACCACCCCTATGGCAAGAGCCACTTATCCACAGCCGGGGGCCTGGCCGTGCCGTCCCTGCCCACAGCCGGACCCTACTACTCGCCATATGCACTGTATGGACAGAGACTGGCCTCCGCCTCGGCGCTCGGATACCAGTAACTACAGCTCTGGCCCCTCCCAGCCCTGCCCCACCCACCCCTTCCTCCCGCGAGTCCCACCTTCAGACGCTGCGACCTCCACTACTGCTTACCCCTGCCGGGATCCAGCCCAGCCCCTCCCGCCGGACTGTGTATTTATTTACTATAATGTTAGCTTACAAGCTGGAAATATAAGTGCATTAATGGCCCACATGAGTCAATGGTATGCAAAAAGTCTATCTCCCCAAATAATATTAACCACCCAGATAACGGCACGACCCCATTTCCCTCTCCCTTCTTTTTATTTTGCTCCCCCTTAGGTGTATATTTTTAAGGTGGTTTTTTTTTGTTTGTTTGTTTTGTTTTGTTCTTCTGTTGTTGTTTTTGACTGATTTGGTTCTAAGGAATGAAGGGAGAGCCGGGGTCCTTCGCTTTTAGTTCCCCCCATCTTGGGAAGTCTCTTGCATGAGTCTTAACTGTTAAAACCGCATTTCTTCCCTTTCCCTTCCACCCACTCTTGTTTCTTTCCACGTGAGGTTTTAAGTTTTTTCCTTTTGTACAAGAATTGTAATAATTTTTTTTTGGGGGGAGACAAGGGGGACAACCGTGGTGGCCGGAGATCTTGAGCTTTGCTGAACCAGGTCTCTATATGCACTTGGTTCTAGGCTCTGGCCCCTCAAATCAGATCACAGCCTTGACCCTCCAGGGTGCTCAGCTCCGGGGCCACCAGCGGGCTCCCCCTTGCAGTGACCCAGCGGCCTCCCACTGAGCCTGCCATCCATTCTGTACTATCTGGCCCTTAAGGGACCCATGCCTTGCCCTGAAGTCAGATTGCTGGCTGATGGGAACCTGACCCATCCAATTAAACGTCTCAGAAGGCCCCGCTGGCACGAAATTGCTCTTTATATTTTGTGAAGTACTTTACCGTCATTGTTTTTTTTTGTTGTTGTTGTTGTTGTTGTTTTTTTTTTTCTTTCTCTCTCTCTCTTCCCAGTTGGGACTGAGCCTGTCCCCTTCTCCGATGAGGAGAGGGGCAGGGCGGGGGATCCTTGAGGGCTCTCCCCAAAGTACACTAGTCCCAAAGTCAGCAGACCAGACAACATCCGTAGCTCTGTTGGGGGCAGGCTGGGGACTCAGGGAGCCCTAGGAGCACAGCACTCCCTTCGCCCTGTCCCAGACCTGAGCCAGCAATCGCCAAAGCTGGCAGTGGGTTTCCCTGGGTTCCTGCGGTGGCTAGGATTAAAGACCTCTCCCACACCTTCCCTCCCTCCCAGTCCTACGCAGCAGTGCCGGGGCTGCGGGGCCTCCTGTGGGGTGAACAGAGCTCTCTCCCTTGCTAAGACTATTTTGTTAATAAATGGAATACTTGGCTATATTCACACCGTGGTGTGTTTCTCTCTTGCCTCACGTAGTTCCGCTTCCAGACACCTAAGCAGATGTCCTTGTTTTGTTTTGTTGGTTTTTTTTTTCTTTTTTTTTTCTTAAGAGCTTTAAGATTTCCTTCTGAGACTCCCGCTTCCAAGACGCGTTTAACGCCTTTTCTCTAGGAGAGGACTTGCACCAATGTATTACAAATTACATAAAACCATCTTTGCTTATTCTTTTTTTCCATTTGGTTGTTTGGCTCCCAGGGTTACTTCAAAGGCCTTGGCATTTCCTGGGGGCAAAGTGGAGCGAGGGTGTGTGTGAAAGTGGATCTTCCTCCGGGGCGGGAACTCAAGGGCTACGGGCTGAGAAAGGGAACCAGGAAGGAAGGAGAGCTGAACGAACTCCCTCTGCCTTACCCCAAGCCCGGCGGGAGGACGAGCAGAGACGTGGCTCTGGCGCCATCTCGTGGCAGTAAGGAGAGCTACAGGCTGAGAGGCTTCAACTTGTCCGACCTTTTGCGGTGCCCAAGATTTTATACTTTGTGCTCCTGGGTAGGAGGGATTCTTTTCACGACCAAAGGGTAAACACTTGCTCAGAGGGCCGTTTCGTGAGGCTTGAGGGCGCCTCACCCAACTCTGTGTTATCGACTTAGGTCCTCTGGGACTCTGGAAACTCGGAACCAGTTTGGTTTTGCCGAGAATTCTCAGCGAAGATCCAGGACCCCGAAGCCATTCTGGTATGGGGAATCTAGGCTCAGAGACCCAGTTCTTACCCGAATTCTTTCTACTCACTTGTGTCCTCTCGCAGTGGAGAACAGGGACTGTTAAGCAGGGTGTTGGCCCGGTATACTTGCCTATTGCATGAAATAGAGGTTCCGCAGTGAGTCTTCAGGGATACCCTGAGCCCAGGTCCCCAGTCATCAGCTGCTAGTGCCAGCATGGACCGCTTGCTCTCCACTGGGGGCGGCCACAGCAGCAGGATTGCAGACGCTGGTTGGCCAGCCAGGCTGCCCTGCGCACGCACACACGGCCTGGGGGCACCTCAGTGGGTGCCACAGGGCTTTGGACCTGTTGCTGCTGCGCTTTGCCCTCTCTGAGGATAAAACTACCTAACAGGTAGTTTGTACCTACAGACTTCCGGCTTCTGAAGCTTGGTAGGCAAGAGTCCACTGCCAGAGGTGGGCCAGGGGGGCGCATTCTCCCATCTAGGCTTATCAGTGTTCACAAACGGAACCTCTGGGTTGAGGCTCCCTGAAAAGTCGCACCGCTCTGGACACTTCAGTACAATGCGCGACATTTATGTATCCCCAGATCTCTGCGTCTAGACAAAGTTCTGTCAGTTAAATGAACATCAAGTTGTGTGGTTGCTGTTGTTGTTGTTGCTTTTGTCCAGTACCCGTGCTGGCCACTCAATGACCGTATGCTGCTGGCATCCCTGGAGGACAGGAGTCCAGGGCAGCCAGGCAGCGAGTCACCCTGAGACCAGCCCCAGGTGGGCCCGGGAACCAGCATTGTTTGGTGGTTCACTCTCCCACACACCTGAAATGCAGACATTCCCCGTTTTGCTTTCTATTTATTGTTTCTTTCCCAGTTTCCTTTCCTCCCAATTCCCTGCTTTCCCCTGCCCTCCCCCACAACCCTCCCGGGCAGACACTTTCGTTTCTTTTCCAGCATCCCTTAAAACCAATGGAAAGGGCTCCTAAACTTTTTTCTTTTGGCTTTGTGGTCGGTAACTCTTCCTCCCTGGGGAAGAGTTTCTTCTCTAGTTAGGAAGAAAGATGAAAAAGATTCTTCTCTCCCATAGCTAACAAGTCCTCTCTATACTAAAAGAAAGCTTTGCTAATAGCTGCTCGGGCTACACCTTTGGTATGAAAAAAAAAAAAAAAAAAAAAAACTATTGGAAAACTATTGCACTTGGGACCAGGGAGGGCGAACTGAGCCTGGTTGGACTAACTTGCCCAAACTACCCTGGCAACCAAATGGCTGGAAATAAGATTTTTACCCTTAAACAATGCCTCCCCACCCCGAAACTCATAAACTAGAATTTTTTCCTAAGAAATTGCCTGTTATAGTTAGCTGGTGGGGAGTTTACTTTTAACAGCTTAATTCCTATTAATCATCATTTTAATAGAGAGGAGCTCTCCCTACAACAGCTGCCTATTTGTATACTTGATATATCTGGCAACTCCCACCTTGTATTTCTCTACCTCCTTTTCTCCAAATATCTCCTCCTCCTCTTTCCCCTAATCTCTCCAGGCTCCAGAAATGAGACCTGTGTTCCTGGGGCACCAGGCTGGAAGCCACAAAGCTGGAACCTGAGACATTGGATGTTCCTGGCTCTGAGTCCTATTTTCACACCTCTTGCTGGGTTATTTTTGTGGCCCTGTGGGCAGCAGAGAGGAGAAGAGAAGGAGGGGGAAGGCCTGCCCTCAGATATAGGCTTGGTTTAGTTGGATGTGGTTTTAGCCTTCCGGACTATCCTCGATTTTCCACCACTCGCCATTCCCAGACAGCTCTGGTCACCTCTCTCAGCCCATCCTACTGTCCTGTATTTGTATCGGAGCTAACTCCCTTCTGATGCGTGTTGGGGTTGGGCAGCATCCGTCTTGCAGTAATCCCGAGGCCTGCACTTTATTAATCATTCTGTAGAAGAAGCTGCACTCCACTTTTCTGTTTGATTTGATTTCATTCATCCTGTCTTTTTGCAAAATAGATGGTTGAGTGCATCCGATAATGTATGGTTTAATTTGGAGCACTATGGGTTTGAATTACCATTTTCATAATGTGCTGTGCATTAATGTGTTACATCATTTATAAAGAAGAATGTGCTAGGTTTCCAACTTTCTCCTCAAAGACAAAGTCACCTGAAGGAAACAAAGCTTAGATCACATTTACTCATCTTCCCCTTCCTCCCGGAGTAGCTCCTGCTTCCTCTACAGGGTCACATGACCAGGGCTCATAAAACCAACAAGAGGTTTTTCATTCACATAATGCAGGTGGGTGTGGAGGTTTGGGGGCAGCTTGCACAGGGCTGCCCTAAGCTGTCCATGGCAGTACAAAGCGACCCCTCATTATGGCCCAACAACAGCTTTGCAGCCAACCAGCTTGCATTTTTTTGCTGAGACCTCCAGCGGATGGCTCTTGGTCGACCCTAATCCCAGCACTCCCTCTCCGATGGCTGTAATAACACCAGCTGTCTGTTACTCAAACTGAGTGAGGAGGAAAAAGCACTGATTATCCAAATACAGTCATTAAAGGGGAAATGTGTTTTTAGGACTGTCAGAGTGATTAATGAGGGCTAGCCGTCTTTGCAAATGCACTTGTTTAGTCTAACTGGCAGCTTGTATTTTCCTATTGATTTATTGCAGCCGTTGCCGGGCCTTGGTGTGTGCGAAGTCAGGGCACTTCACAACTGTGCCCTGTTTAAACAGGAAAAGCATGCACCATTTTGTCCAGGAGGGAGGAGACAGCCTAAAGCCTCTCTCTTCAGTGTAGCCTCCAGGGATGCAGACCAACAAAGAAGACATTAAAACCAGCAACCAAAGAGGGAAGGAAACTGCCTCCCCTTGGTCTTCCCAGTTATTTTGCTCCAAGGTCAGTGGAGACACATCAGGCTCCGACAAAGCCTGCCCTAATGTAACCCTCAGCCTGCCCACATTTCTCCTCCAGTGGCCAGAATCCAGCTGTCAGTCACTGGGTCAAAGGACAGGAAAGGGCCCCAGCAGAGAAAGAGCCAAGAGAGGGAAGTGATGAGGCCAGGAAGGAAAAAAAAAAAAAAAAAAACAGAAGTCATCAAACCCCTGTAGTCTAGCAAGGAGCCGGTAGGCAGTGCACTTCGAGGCGCTAACAGTTGGGTCGACTTTTAAAGAGAGACAGGGGAACCGCTGAAGCCACACTTCCATCTTTGTATTTGTGCCTTTCCCGTTTTGATAAATAAGGTATGTAATGAAACAAACAAACAAACAAACAAAAAAAAAACACAAAACACAAACGCACACAAAATGGCGGCTTGAAAAGTCTCACGATTTGGGGGATTGTACTCATGGTCCCAGATAACGGTTTCGAGGCTGTATCTGGGCCCAGCACAATGCAGGATAGCAATGCAATACCAAGGGCAACTCTAGAAACCTCTTGCCCACGAGACAGGGAACGCTATAGCATGACACTTTAACTGTAGCTCTGCCCATCTGACCCAGCGCCACAGTCTGCCCTGCAGACAGAAGACCTGGAGAGACACAGTAAGATGCCGCTGTGTTGACGAAACAGTCACACTCTAGAAGAGGACGGAACCATCAGAGGAATGGTGGAAGGACCCAGGCTCCCAGTTCCTACCGGCCCTCCCGTGGCTTCGGGTTAGTAGAGGGCTTCTGTGGTGGGGAGAGGGATGGGGTTGAGCCCCTGGGTCAGCTTTTCAACCTGTGAGTTGCGACCCCTATGGGGTCAAATAATCCTTTCACGGGGGTCACATATCAGATGTTTACATTGTGATTCCTAACAGTAGCCAATTACAGTTATGAAGTAGCCATGGAAATAATTTTACAGTAGGGGGGGTCACTACAACATGAGGAACTGTATTAAAGTGTGGTAGGAAGGGTGAGAAGCACTGCCCCAGGTCAGTAATGTCCACTGCTGGAGAAAAATCAAGAAACAGGTTTTGGGGCTGGAGAGACGATTTTGTGGTTAAGAGTACTTGCTGCTCTTCCAAAAGACCTGGGTTCCGTTCGCAACCACCTGTAACTTCAATTCAGCGGGATCTGATTCCCTCTTCTGGCCTCCGCTGACACTTGCACACTGTGGCCTTCTCTCCTCTGGACACATATACTTAAATAAAAATAAAACAAATCTTCCTTCCTTCCTTCCTTCCTTCCTTCCTTCCTTCCTTCCTTTCTTCCTTCCTTCCTTCCTTTTTTTAAGAAACAGGCTTTAGCTATAGGGCTGATGAAGTATGATGGTATACCCAGTTCTTGAAGGATGAGGCAGAAAGATGCCCTGTCCTGGGCTATAGGAA